GGGGACATTAAAGTAAATAGCGGACAGCAATAGTTACACAATGTACTGAAAAGATTTATTTTTTTTAGTACAGTGTATTTTCTTTAAATAGGGGTTTATGTCTCAAAGGCTAATTTTTTAATTATTATTTTTCTTCCCCCCCCCTCAATTTCTGTATTGAACCCCATTACTTAGCTTGGACCATAATAAACGAGTTCATTTGTGATCTTCCCAGAAGCTAAAGAGAGGGCAGAGTTCTGTGGTTTAAGTTTTGTTTTGTTTGGAAAAGCATGAGTTGAACTTGGAAAGAGCCTTACTATCTAAAATATTCAGCAAGCGGCCTCTGGAAAACATAGAATATCTTTAACTACCATTTTTGAATACAGCCTTTCTAATAGTCACATTTCCAGTGACGTTTTATTTTACTAAGGGCTTTTTTTTTTCTTTTAGTTTATATTTTAACAATAAAATAACATAAAGGAGTTGATGTGGTTGCTTCTATGCTGCCCTACAGGGCAGGAAAAAAAATCTACAGGAGCTCAAACACTACTTTTAAAAAGGTATTTACTGACTCAAGTCAGCATAGAGTAAATGATTTCCCACCATATTTGACTACGGATGCACTTTTTGAGGCATAGAACTTAGTAGRTGTGATGTTATGTTTTTTGTCTCCTCCTGCTGCAAAAGATTTTGCAGTTTGAGGGTGATAGTGACCCTACAGCAGTTATCCTGCAGTAATAACCTGTTTGACCCAGCGTTTAAGCTATTTGCTTGATTCCTGTTTGTGCTCAGGCTGTGACAGTACAGAGCAGCCCTCTGAGTATCTGATGGGCTTTGGGTTTCTTTTCAGACTTAGCTGATCTTAAAGACAAGAGGTAGGAAGTACTTCTTTTATGAAGGGAGAGGAATATTTCCTAACAGCTCTTAGCTGTTAAAGGGACACATTTAATGGGTCAAAATTTAGGAAATTGTTTGATAATGAACTGATCACTTAGATACATAGAAGCTCTTTTTCCTAAGTGGCTTAGGGCATATGTTGTTATGTGTCAATGATTTAAATGTAATTATCACTTCTTTATTTTGTTTCTCTCCTTAGGAAATTAATTCTGGCAATGTTAACTTTGTACACAACCCACCAAGACTCGCTTAAGATAGCTGCTCTTCATTTGTGTTTTTGTGTGGGAGGGAGTGTGTCTTAACCTAGAAACTGTAAAGATCACATGTTAGCAAAATGAATTATGTGGGTATGTAAAAAGTGAAAGTGAATGTTTTCTTTCAAACTGAACCRAGACATATAAGACAATGAGCATTTTTATTATAATTTAGATGARTATACTAAAACCATGTGAGCAAAAACTTTCCTATTTAGTTTACTTTTGGATCATTTATTCTATACAAAGTTGATATTTTCTTTTAATATATATTCTTTCAAAATCACTTCTATTTGGGTAACTCAAGCCAAGCTTCTTCCCTAGTATGAAAAAAAWTTTTTTAATTGTAATTCACTATATGAATTAATTAGCAATGAAAGACATAAATGTACTGCAGGTGATTGAGGGGCTTTATTGAAGAGGAAAAGCATCTCATATCTTAACCTCTTAAAGTATCATACGCAGAGGCCCAACTTGTTTTGATTTAAGATGAGACTTGCAAAGCAATCTAGAGAAATTTGCAATGGGATTCCTTTGAATGTCTTCTAAATCCGAAGGTCTGATTTGTAAGTACCTGTTACCTACTGAGAACTTTAGCTTGGAAGCCCTGAAGGGAGCATTATTTTTCTATGGTGAGCCTGAGCCTTTTCCTTCTTTTCCTCATTTGTTTTCTGCTGCCTGTACACACCTTACTTCTTGGTCTTTGATTTCTGTCTTCCTGTCTTCGCAGTTTGCAGATAAAGCATCATTTCTGCCATGTGCAGTCAGTGTGTTGCAGTGCTTCCTTTCTCTGCCATAAACAGGTACATGTGTTGTACAGGAAAGCTTTTCTATATGCAGTAAAGCACTGCAGCTCTGCAGTAGCATTGCCATGTAGCAGTAACATTACCACAAAAGATGAAAGCTTTGGTCAGTGTTGTAGTGTCATACACTGCATCTTTGGAAGGGCAGCAAGTACCCAGGTTCTCCATCTGCAGAGGGAGAACAGAAGGGAAACACTCGCATGGAGAGTTCATGCACTTCATATTTATTCTGCAGCCTACCTCGTGGTAGCCTGCTCATGTGTCCATTCACAGGGYGTAAGTAAATCATGTGAGTTGCTCAAAGTTATACAGCACACATCAAATTTGTAGAAGAAGAAAAAATGGGTGTGTAATTCTACAATTTAAGTAATGTTCTACCTGCTGGATTGCTGGATTTTTTTTCTTTTCTTTTTTTTTTTTTATCTTAACAATTGCACGGATCACAGACAAAAATTCTCTTAGGATTATGTTTCTTGAAAGAAACTTTACCAGAAAAATCAATAAAATAAGAAACTAGCACAAATTAAACATCTAACTCWTACTATACAGCAGCATTTTAATTAGAATCCATTCCTAGTGATATTGTTGCATGGTAGTAACGTTTTTCTGTATCATTCTGTTGTCCAGGCATACACTGGTTAAATGCCCCATCAGGACATGATTTGGAGAAATRTGTTGGAACATACAATCTTGTAACGTGCAGAAGGGAACTAGGAAACAAACAGTATTTTGTTCAGCAAGCTAATGTGCCCGAGACACTGAAAGAGATCACAATGTAACTAAAACTGTTACGGCAGTATGGAGAAAGGCAAAATATCCTTCTCTGAGAGAGAAAGGGAGAGAGAAGGAAAACTCATCCCAAATCAGCTCCCTGTCGGGACAGTCTGACCCTTTCTCTTGAGCTGTAGGGTACATTGACTCATTAAATGTGTGCAGCAGAGGTGAGGCTTAAGAAGATGTGATAGGAAGAGAGCAGCATGTTCCAAGCAGAAGGAAACTTGGAACTACTATAGTCGAGCAATAGGATCTGTTGCATGGGGAGAGAGGGACTTTCTTGTCTGAATCCTGAGTTGTCAAATTTGTCAAGTCAGAAGTTTGTCAGAAAATACATGCAGATAAGTGTAAGAAGGAATGGTTTTGAGAAGAATTATTTGTATCATGGGAAGCATAAGGTGGCATGAAGGACTAGTTGTTTAATCAGATGCATAAAATCAAAAATGGATGATAGATAACACAAATGGAGGAAAAGGTTTGAAAATTTGACACTGTATGGAGAGAAACTGAGCGGCTAATGGTCTTGATTATGGTAGATACCATTGAGCAGAGTATGAGGGTTTTGTTAGAACTTCAGAGGAAAACACTGTTTTCTTATTGCTCTTTAATTCAGTCTTGCACAGAGCAAGAGTAACTTTCACTAGTTGTATTCTCAGAAATGCCTCCTGAAGGGTGGTGGTGGATGTATGTGTGTGTGAGCATGCACACAGGTGCTTCCCACTGCTTTCACTGAAATAACTAAGGTCACTGAAGGCCTTCAGAATCGCTTGCCTTCCACTGACTGCATGGGTAACCTGCATGATTATCCCTTGGAAAAGCTGCTTCACCAGACATGACCAATAACATGACTGTTTTGGGTAGATGCAATCCCATCCTAGATATCTCCTTATGCTTAGTCCAGTGTATCGTGCTGACCTCATGAAAGAATTTACATACTATAGCATCTAATTCAAATCTGCTCTATTCTCTCATCCAGTGAAGACTGCAAGGGCTGTTTTTTAGTTTAAATGATGGACAGTATGTTACAGTATTACAGAAGCCATTAGTGCTGTTGCTTGTCTGCAGAAGGCAGAGCTCAGAGCAGTTCAGCATCCTATATGTTTATACATTTAGATTTTGGGAGTTTTCTAGATAGCTTAAAGTAATCAGTAGACAGAACATGTCTATGAAGTTTCCTTCTTTCTGCGAAGGTTCCTTTTCTTTACTTTGACAGTGTTTTCATAGTAGCCTTATTAATTACATATGCTTTGTTCATTCTTCTTCCTCTTAATTTTGTCAGTAGAGGTAAACTGTTAGAACAAGGAAAAATCACAATCTAATCTTGGAAGGGCAAATTTATACTGTGGAACTGAGACCCACTGTCCAAACTTCATGCTGTGATAAATGCTCTGTTTCATAAATGTCTGCCTGGAATTCGGTTGTTGTTATTATTGAGCCCCAGGAACAAAGCTAGCTGTGGCTAAGATAACACAGTTTCTTCCTACTGCGATGGATGCTGCTTTCAGCTACAGAAATGTCTTAAGGGTGCAGTTGTCAAATACGAAGGGATATGTGTGGTCTCACATGATGATAGCTCTAATGGTATTGAGTGAGCTAATAGGGAGATTTGAGAAACTTGTTTGTGTTTCTTCTTCATAAACACTAGAGTACTTCCTTCATCYGAGTGTTATGCAAGTACAGCACTGAGTATTTCACCATAGTACTAAGCACATATATTGCCACAGAGTTACATGGTAAAAGGCTATTTTGATCCCCTTTTTACTGGGAGAACTGAGAATTGCTCAGCTGATTCCATCAAGCATCACAGAGCTGGAATCAGGACAGTCATGGGACTCCACTCCCTTGCTCATCTCTTTACTTCTTGAGTAATTTGACATAGCTTTAAATATGATTTATAACTCTAAGCTTCCAAGGCTTTTATCTTTCCTCCCTTCCCCCAGAGGGAAGACCCAGAGATCTCAGGCTTGGTATTATTTGGGCTTTGCGTAAACATAGCTGTTACTGCTCTAAGAGCCAACTGTCAAGAGGCAAATCCTTGTGCTATGTTAACATTTCAAACTCCTTGCTGATTTATTGTTGTTGTGCAGGCCGCTCAAAGGGCACTCTAATTCATCAGTTCCTTGTAAGCACGGAGGAGGGAAAGAATAGGAGGAAGTGAGAACAGGGTAGGGATGGGGAAGAGAAAAATACAGGGTCACTAGTCAGTCATAGAGAGCCTGTCAGTACAGCCCCCTGAGCTACAAGAGCAAGCCAACACACTTAAGAGGCCTGTAATGGGGCATAGAGATCCAGGAAATGTAATCACCTGGAGCAGGATTTCTGACTGAAAGCTGTGTGAAAACTAGGTGAGCAGAACCCTGTGACTTTCCTATTATAGCACTGAGTTAACTGTGTTCCTAGTCTATGGTAGACATTGTCAGGTACTACTTAAATGTATACTATATCTACTAGTTGTTTCCAGGCATTTAGAAGCTGTCTTTTCAAGTTCATCATGAATTACCATTATTTGCCATTAAACTCTAGGTATTGGTACCCATGATCCTTGAGTATGAATTATTTTAACTAACAGAAGTGGTAACAACAAGTTGCAGAAAATCCTGTAAATATGAAAACTTAGTAATGTATCTTCTTTCTCTTAGTAGAAGCAAAATCTGAAAACACTCAGTAGGAAAAATAAGCTTGATTCTGTTTTTTGTCTTTCAGATACCCAAAAAAAGTGAGGTCAAAGGGATGTTTCTCTTTCACTCTATCTCCTGGCTATCGCCAACACTTTCTTAGGCATCTGCTGAAATGTCTGTGACATAACTCATTTCAAGAATGATTGTATCACTTTTGTTATATTCCGTGGTCAGTAGAAAAAGATTTAGCTCTATTCTGAACTCTTGGTCCTTTTGCTGATGACGCTGATACTATTAAACTGTTTTAATCTCTCTGTTTGATCTCAGCAGTTCATGAGACAAATAGATCTCTATCTAAATCATGTCATATCTCTGGTTTGTTGTAGTCTGTGGAGAAGAAGAATAATGTGTTCTGTGTCACTCTTGGTGTATGGAAAACCCTTATGTCCTGGATTCTTGATGTGCTCTACTTTCTTCTTTCTCTACAGAGCTTAAACAATTCATGTCTTAATGATTTAACTGTTTTTCTACACTGTGACATGGGCCTAATGGCTGACTCAGTAATTCAGAGATTATGACTTGGTGCTAGTATTCAGAAGTAGTGGTTCACTGCATTAAACTGGAATTGGAAATTGAAAGCAAATACCTGTGCTATAGTATCTAAGCTTTTCTCCAGCATGACGAGGAAASTTTTCGTACTTAAAGGAAATGAAGATTCTTTTAAATCACAGAGGATCTTGGTTTATTTGTTTCAAATGGTGTTGAGACCTTCTTGCTGTGGTTGCAGAGACAATGCTCTGAGGTGAAGTGAGGGCCTAGAGCTCCGCACATGAGCAAGGGGATGATGTGGGATGCCCAAGCTATTGCCTGAAGTGCTCTGCTGYTCTGGCTCCTAGAATCTCAAGATAGCAAACATCAACTACATATAAACTCTGTGAAACATTCCTGATTATTATCACCTTCCTCCTTTTCTTTAACTGTGTACTAGAGCTTTTTGGTGCATTGTATGTTGGGCACATAATGGAGTGGCTTCCACTTCAGTTGTTATTGTGCTCTGTATTGCAAAATACATTTCTCCTGGGACATAATGAGGGGAAATGTTCTCTGCTTCTTTCTTCTCATTTCTCTCACCTTTGCTATGTGTGGTTTTCTTTTTCTTTTCTTTTGCTTCAGCCATATCTTTTACATTTATATATATATATATGTATATATAACTTTTTTTCCCACATATTTGGGTATATTTTCCCACATGTTTGTCCAGTCCCTTGCCTTCTGCCTGACCACAGCTTTTTTTCATGACTACCTACAGTGCTGAGTACCGTGTTTAGAGTATACTGCCACGCCATGTTGCAGGTTTGCTCCTGTTTTGCAGTGCCTTGAGAAGTCATACTAGCACCGTAACTGTTGAAAAGCCCAGAAACATGCAAAACCATAAAAACAGACAGCCTTGTCACACTACACAGAGGATGTATTTTGCAGAAGAGATGATAGGATCTTGCAGCTGTCCGGTACTTCCGCATCCCAGCTTGCAAGTGGCATCTCTTTGGACAGAAGATGAGGTTATGACATGTAATACTACTAGTGTTAGTATCCTTTAGGAACTGGAATTTTAAGAATTTTTGGGTTTTGTAATGGTAAGGGTGTGTGTCTTTTGCTATCAACTCACTCGTTCATTCGATAGGCAGCACTTTCATATATATCAACAGATCTAGAGTTTCACTGTTACCTTCCTAATACTTAAAATCTTTCATTTATGTCATAATCAAACCAGTCTCTCTAAATATCCATGAGTTCTTTGCCTTTTATTAATTTTACAATTTCTTAGGAAAAGTAAAAAGAAGATAGGTATTTAGCAAAACAACCTTTTTTGAACTCCCACTATCTCACCAACTTGTCTTAGAAGCAGTCAGTCTAGTAGATGTTGTACTCTTGGTGATGTATCTGAGCAACTTTCAGTAGTACCTTTCAATAATGGCATAAAAGAGCTTCAGTATAATGTTAATTTTGATTTTTTTGAGTATTGAAATTTCTGGATGAATTTGTTATATACATTCATAAACTCTTTATACGTAGCTGTGAAATGTTTTTATGTAAGTTGGGAAGGTAAGGCAAAGAAACATAGTGTTTTAAGGAAAGGATGGCAAGTCATAGAAAGGACCCAAGTTCCTGAAGAGTTCCCTGCACAGTTATAGATCAACAGTCTGAGAGTGCCGGTTTTCCACATGCCTCCATTGGTCAAAGAAATTGAAGTTACTGACAATGCTTTAAGTCCCACAGCTCTAACATGGCCTTTTATCTTCTGAACTTGAGCCACAGGTTAACTTGAGCTCACCATTTCATAGAATCGTAGAATCATAGAATCCTTAAGGCTGGAAGGGACCTCTAGAGATATCTAGTCCAACCTTCCTGCTCCAGCAGGGACACCCAGAGCACGGGGCCCAGGGCGGCATCCAGGCGGGTTTGGAAGATCTCCAGAGAAGGAGACTCCACAGCCTCCCTGGGCAGCCTGTTCCAGGGCTCCGGCACCCTCACTGTCAAAAAATGCTTCCTTCAGTTCCTGTGGCATTTTTGGTGCTTCTGTTTGTGGCAGTTTCCTCTAGTTCTGTCAGTGGTCACCACTGAAAAGAGGCTGGCCCCATTCCCCTCGCTTCCTCCCTTTAGGTATTTATAGACACTGATCAGATCCCCCCTCAGCCTTCTCTTCCTCAGGCTGAACATGCAACCTGGGTCAACTGCTTAGAAGGCAGTTATACTAACCACTATACCATACCACTATAACCACTATATTTCTGTTACTATCTTCAGAATTAGTGAGAAGCTTTATATGCTGTTGCAAGCAATTATATCAAAGTATATCATATTGCTAGTTTACTTTTGGATGACAGAATCCAGCTTTACTGGTTGGAATTGTTGAGGATGGAAAGGATAACAATTATTTTTTCAATCAGATTTGTGAGAGAATCTTAAATAAACAGCCAGGCTTTTGCCAGGATTTAAAAAGTCAAGGAAGTGGCTAGTCATCCTTAAACATATAAATTCCTATGTAAATCCAGTATTTTGTGCATTAGTTTGCCTGACATTTAATAGAGAGAATTAATACCCCTTTACCTCCCAAGCAGTTCTTTGAAGATTAAGATACTGAGGCAGAAAGATAACTCAGTGACAGGAATCATTAAGTAGCCGAGATTGATAGGTGAGAGTTACTAAGTCTGCCTGTCTGCTTTTATAAGCATAAAATCTACCTAGATGATGCATTTATTGTTTTACAAAGAGCTTTTAAATGACCTTATCAAAAAGCCAGTGATGAAGTGACATAATGGAAGCTAGTACCGTTACTAAAAAGTATTTACTGATTAGACTGAAGGTCGGCATGCAGGCCATTTCTGTATTTCTCTAGCTATATAACACTAGCGAGAATCCATGGAAAAGCCCAGGAACTGAGCAAATGCCATCAACTTCGAACTTGGCTAGAGAGAAGCAAATTGAATTGCAGGATCCTCAGTCATATAAATCAGTCCCTTGTTAAGCTGAAGAACTCAGAGCTGTCAAGTCACATGCACCGTGAGCTGCTGCTGTGGCTGTGCATAGGAAGACTTGGAATTGTTTAGGTCACTGTGGATGAAAATTATTGACTTTATAGATCAGGCAGTCATAACCAGCTGCAGATTGCAACTTTTTGTGCAGATGAATCTGCTTTCCAAATGGACACTTCTCCCATCACATAAGCAAAATATCTGGAGAGACTTTTTTTTCTTATTTTGTTTTCCTCTTCCTTGTTTTATCTGGTTGCCTCCTTCCTCTTTTTGCTGTTGCGTTACTTGCTAGGTAAAGCTTGCCATATCACTGGAAAACATCAAAATACAGTTTGAGAGACAGTAGTTACAGAACACTTAGGAGAATTAATCTGAAAGCTCCAAATTTGACTGGAAGTCAAATTAGTCAAAATCTCTGCTTTTGAGTGTTTTTTTTTTTTCCCCTCCTCCTTTCTTCCTTATGCATCATAACATAAACACAGACAGACTTAGTTTCGACAGTGTGCCGGATGGTCATGAGGCAAGAACGAAGCAAGATTCAGTCTGTTCTCAGAAGCTGGATGCCCTATATTGCTTTGCAAGAATACACAGCAGACGCATGCATTCCCCTGGGAGGCAGTAGATGTTCTGTGACATTTTCCTGCAGGCTAGTTGACAGATCTCTGCACCCTGCCTTTAATGTCATTGGTGACAACAGATATTTCTTTCCTTTGCTAGTGAGTTTCATGTTTCATTACTAAAAGCAAAGGCTATTTTAAAATTAGATTTCAAAAGTAATTCAGAATGTAAAAAGGGTTTATATGTAAGACTTATCTAGGCTGAAGTGAAAGATGTAAAATGAGACAATGCTGTCTTCTGCATTCATACTCCATATAATGACCTACTTAATAATACGGCAACATGGGTCTTTTTTTCTATGATAGTGTGTGATAAGATCTTGTTAGTGGTTTAGGCAGCAATTAACTATTTATTTATTCATGTATTTTAATGTTTCCCTATGAATACAGGCAGGCAATCATCTCCGTTTGCATATGCTGCAGTCTAAGCAGAAGGCAAATTTGGCAAGAAGGGCAAGCAGAAAGAGACAGTGCTGCCTGCTGCAGTTGGAACCTGGAAGTCTGCTTTTGCTTTCTGCTGTCATCGTTGCTGAGCCACTGACTGTGACACTGCTGTGACAGGGCAGGCAGTTTCTGCTGGCCTTCAGGATGCTAGTTTGGAAGAATCTAATTTTTTTGAGCAGAGAATAGTAGCAAAGAGAATGCTTCCCAATTAGATGTTGTTGTACTGTGGTTGTGATGCAAAAGAGGAATCAGTATGGTGAGACCAGTAAGCCTTTATCCTAGAGAAGAGCAAGCAAGTATAAGAATTGGAGCCAAAAGACTACATTTTACCTCATATTATTGTTTATTAGCAAACACTGAATAAGTGTTTTTTGTTTGTTTTTGTTTTTATTTTGCTTGGATTGTGTGGTATTGGTGTGTTACATTTGTCAATATTTTGGTCTGAACTGAGTGATGTTATCATAAAACTTACTAATATCTTGGTCTGATTGATGCCTGCAAGTATATACCTAATTTAAATTTATCCCTCTTCATCAAACCTCTTAGTTTCATCTGCTTATTGCCATAATGTTCAATAAACTGATCAGGACAAGCAAAGGACACTCAGAAAAACAGAATTAGTTCTGGTGTTTGTCATCACTGCTTCTCAAAAATTTCATGAACTTGTAAATGTCAGATAAATTAGAGCTTGCAGAGAGACTTGTTCTAGCTTATTTTTGTGCTAAAGAATAATACAGTGGCAATTTACAATAAGATAGACTAATATCCTTGACCTTGGGCTTCAATTCATACCACAGTGTCAGACTTTCATATGAAAATCTCAGAAAAGACTGCTCAGGTCATCTGTTGTAACTGGGGCATGCTATTGACATGTAATTCCTTGAGTCTATTTCCTATCTTTCCTTTGAAAGAGTGTTGAATATTATGGGGTTTTCAGTGGAGGTGACCTAGAACATCATTAGAAATAAGATTATCTAGTCTTTATTCTCTCCCTCTTTTCTTCCTGATGGCTTCACTATTGAAAAAAAAAAAAAAAGGGGGGGGGGGGGGGAGGGAGAAAGCATGATTTTTTTGGTGTCTTGTGTGTGCCTTTTAAAGAGCACTTCCTGATGGGTCAGACTGAATGGAGAGCTCACATAAAATCTGCACTTTGTTTCAGAGAGTTTATAGAGACCTTGGTGAAGTCAAGTCTACACTGAATTGAATATCAAAGACTTGGATTTCACAGGCATTTCTTTGAACTTTCCTTGTGATTTGTTTGGGGCAAAAAGTCATTTTTCCCTGAATGTATATTGAAATCTAGTCTGAAAGGCATCTAAGTCATGATATTTGTTGCAGCTCTGAAGGTCTTGAAGTTCACAGATGTAACTTAGATGTAAGTAAAATTCTTTAAGTTCCAAAAACATAATTAAAAATTGTAACAATGGTTGGCATCTATTAGAGAGAGAGAACCTGAATATCTTAATAAGGAAAGAAGAGGGAGATAATGTAGAACCTTTGATGGCCTTTAGATGTGGATATCCCACTCCTGAAAGTCTGTCACTGAGGGAGAATAATACTATTGTGGCATTAGGACTGGATATATAGCACAGAAATTACCCTAGGTATATTCGATTGTATTTGTATGTGTGTAATTCATAAAGGACTTTTGTTCTTTGTTGTTCTGCAGTGGATGGGCATTTGGCAACTCTTCCCCTGGCCCCTGAGCCCTAATATCTGGTAAAAGATACGGTCATATCTTATCACTGTCAAGAATAATGCATAGGTATTATACCATCTGGTATTAAACAAAGCTCACACTTCTGTTTGTTTTGGCCTCATTTGCTTATCGTCGCAACAAAGCTGCACTGTCAGCATATAGCAAAGGTAGGGAGAAAACTGCAGGCTCAGAAATTCTATGGATATTCATATTCATCATTCTTTCTAAAATTAACTTAGCAAACTGATTTATCTGCCATGCTCTTAGGAGCAAAAATATCTGGCTGTGTTGGCCAGTTGCAGTATCATCAGGCTGCAGAAAGGGCAAAACATATGCTGGATTCATGAAGGATACTCTAAATGTGACGTTGGTGGCAGGAAGGGACCTTAAGCAATGTATTTTAAGGAATGGGTGATCGATGTGGGTGAAAGGAAGGTAAAAAGTAGTAAGGAAAATAGTGTGAGATTTTTCATGCATAATGCAAAACAAAGTCTGTGTCTTTAGAGTGTTTCCTGCTTGGTCTCTTGATATTTTATCAGCCTGTTTCATCCTTTTCCTCCTCCTTTCATCTTTCTATGCATATGCTCTCAGGCAGGAGCGTGTAGCTTTTTGCATGTGCTGATAACTGTCAGATTAGCCCTCACTGTTGATATTTAGTTCCAAAGAGCTGGCAGGCAGCAGCTAAGGCTTGCAGTACACAAAGATATACAGACTATCAGCATATGGAGGTGAAGGAGTAATACTCTGTTTATTTCAGACTGCTCTGCGATGACTACAGCAAGATATAGGCCTACCTGGGACTTGGTGCTTGATCCACTGGTGTCCTGCAAACTCTGCCTTGGCGAATATCCCGTGGAGCAGATGACAACAATAGCACAATGCCAATGCATCTTCTGTACCCTGGTGAGTTCCTTTTTTAACAGATGTAAGTTTTGAAGTTAAAATAGGGCATTGCTTTTATGCAGTTTTCTGTTGAGTGGATTTCACTGTGAAGTGTTGATGCCATAGGTCTTATATCATAAGAGTACCATTATAATTGCTTATGTGCTCTCCTCACCCACACATTCTCAGTAAAACTTGACTCTTCCATTGCAGCACAAGTGAGTGCAATAGAAACTCACTGGCACAGGGCTGGGTTTACCTGTAACACGAGGTAAAGTATTTTAGCAAAGTATTTTAGCAGGGTTGTAGCACCCTGTCTCTGATAGCTAGCAGGTGGCTGCTGCCCTGTACTGTCTTTGAGAGCAGAAAATATTTCACTTATTCCCACTGCTAGTATGTAAGAATCTATCTGATTTTCACTGTGTAAAAAAGATAAAGCTAGAGATGGCTTTAATTTATTTATTTATTGTGCACTTATATCTTTTAATTTCTAAATTTTCTAGTTCTTGAACTAGAAATGGATGCTATTTTGGGGTACCTGACACAAATACTAGGAAATAAGCTTATTTGCTTTGTTATACTTAAAAAAAAAAAAAAAAAAGTCTTACTCAAGTATTTAAGAAGTATATTTGATTTGAACAGTTGCCTGTTGCAAAATTATTACCACTTTTAATTACCACTGATTATTTTTCTTTTTATCTCTCTGTTTTAGATTTTTTTTTTTTCCTGCTTTCTTTTTTATTTTAACATCGAGTCTCTTTGGAATAAATTCACATATAACTAGAAAAGCATCTAATGGGTTCTAATTTCATGATATAATAATTGCAATCACATAACAAATTTTTACTACCATATTGAATAAACTCATGCTTAGAATAGGAACATAAAAGAGAATCTTGTTGGTTCAGTACAAAATGCCAAGTTTTAACTTAAGTGTTATGTAGTAAGATTCAGCCTCCCAATACAGGAGGCTAACAGGAACTGTTAATCATTTCTAAGCTTCCATTATAGTGATTTGGTATTGGCAGTTTATAAGCAGAGAAATGGCAGCAGTAGTTTCCAGCCCTGTGGGGTGTGTTGGAATGATGATAATGGATCCTTTAATCTTGCAATGGCTACAAGTACACAAAAACTTTTGTGATGGTTTTTCAGCACTGCAAAAACTGCAGTAATCCCAGAGGATTACAATTCTAGGATACATTATGCTCAAAGATTCTAACACCATATCATGAGATCTTGATAAGTTATATGTAACATGCAGACAAGGTCATGTTTCTCAATGCACATACTACTCTATAAAGACCAAGTTATTGCAAAACTCTTTAGCACTGATGTCGCATGAGGAAAAAGGTGGACATACATGCAAATAAGCAAAATGGTCCATTACAGACACTGTGTCTGTCCAGTCACAAAATAAGTATTGCTTCATTACACACATTGAAAGGAGTATTTGCGCAAGCGTGGAAAAGTGTGTGAAATAATAGGCTTCATGGAAAAACAGAATCATAGGCTTTATGAAAACTGTTCTCTGCTGCACAACAGATAGTTCTGGTATTTACAGCTGAACTTTCCATGTCATTTCCTGTTACCCTGGACGAAGGGAATATTTAAATGTTACTTCAGTAAGATCTAAGTGATAGCAGAAAGACTGTATTGCTAACTATGTTGCTTCTTCCCCATCTTGTTCCTCTCATGTTCACTACCATCCCTGATCTAACAGGAGTATTCTTCCTGTTAGAATACTGCTACTTACTGCCCTTACAATCTCTCTCAGAAGTAGAAAGCCTTGATAGCCTGTTCTTAAGTTCTGTTGTAAGTGAGCTTGCCATGGTGGCGTTGGCTTCTTGTTTCCAGCAGTTTTCAACTGGAATCCTCAGTCCATACTTGTTACCATCCATACTTGTTTGTCTCAAATAGTTCATTAAGCTTTATCCTCTTAAGAAAACCAGCACATGCTGGTTACATAGATATTTGTATGAGCTTTATCTCATCAGACATCACTATGTCTGAAGGCACTGAAAATTATATTTAAAGCTATCCTGTGAAACAATAAGGAAAATATTCATCATGGTTTCACTGATGGGAAAAGAAATAAGAATTCATCACAGTAATTCCAAAGGGCAAACTATAAATCTGTGGTAAGCCATCAATTTTGTGCAAAAGAAATACTCGTACCTTGTGAACTACTTTACAATTTAATAAGCTTTGTAAGAAAATACTCTAAAATGAGACGGAACAAAGACTATATAGGTCCTTGGTAATGGTTAAGGAAGAGAGCATTGATTCTCTTATTAGTATTATTTCTTTGCTTCTCAGAGTCATCATTGCAATCCTCAATATTTGCCTGTGTTTTATAAACAGCCAAATAAAGGTATTGAAAATCAATAGGGGAAAAAAAAAACCTTTTTCCTTATGACTTTCCACATGGTTTATACATAGTGAATCTACAGTTAATTATACATGGATTAATGGAAATAAACCTGGAAAAATGTTTGGCTTGCTGTGTTTATTTCTTCATGGACCCACATGTAACTTTTTTTTTCTGGCTTTTTGCTTGTGTGTGTATGGTCTAAGGTGAAAGATGACTTCTGTAGAGTGATAATGAGAAAAAGAACGCTCTTGGTTACCAGTGTGAAAACTGTTTGCTTCAGCTCATTCTCCTGTCTCTAGCCACACTCTCTAAACCATAGCAAACCGGGGGATGTATTCCAAAGAGATCCTTGAAGATCTACAGATCTACGGATCTGTGCTACGGATATGTAGGCAGAATTTAGTTCAACGCACGAATTTCTCCATAGTGCAACATTTGTCTGCAAGTCCTCACTCCTTAATAACCACAGATGTGATATGGCAAAGAGCTCACGAAGGATTGTCCCAGCACTTGCACGGGAACAGAGTGCTGCTGTTCAGCGGGGCAGGATGGGGCACACTTTCCCTTGCTGGCAGGCAGAGCTCCGCAGGAACACGGCAGAGCCGGCTGCCGCTCCGCTCCTGATAAGGCCTAGGCACCGCTGCTTCCCGTCATGTTACTTTGCCAGTTGGGGCTATTAAAACTCATAATGGAGTATTGTACTATTGTTATGACTGTTAATGCACGCACAATGCTGGGAGCTCCGTTTAAGCTTTGTACATGTTCCCTATTAGGAATATATCTGGTGTTGGAGGACTCTGTGTGCCAGAAAAACAAAAGTCTAGGGAATAGAAAAGAAAACAAGCTATCTGCTGTTTGGATGTTTTTAGTTTTTATGTGTTTCTCTTCCCCCTCCGAATATTCTTAGGGCAAAATAAAATCTTTGTCTTTCTAGAAGCTGAATCATGTCAACAATAGAGGAAATCATTTTGGACCAGAATTCTTCTATGTTTGCTTGTTTTGGTTTACCTATTTTTTTTCCCAATAAAAAATAGGACAGAGTAGATTGCTTTAAAATAGGGAATCACTTAGCATTTGTTTTCCTCAAAAGGTTATTTTTTTTTTTCCTCCACATTTTCCTAGAAAGGCTTTCTAGGAGAGACTCATGGAAGGAAATAAAGCAAATCAAACCAAGGGAATGACTTGTTTAGTTTTGTGTTAGTGCACTAAACTTCTCCGGCTAGTACTTAGCCTTTGTTTTCTTTTGGTGTGTGTTGAGAGGGCAAAGCCAGGCTGACTCCACTTCCAGCTTGAAATTCTGATACTTTCATAATTCTAACCAGAGCTACAACAGGTTTTGTTTTAATTTATATTTTTGCATTCAAATGAACTGGTTAATGCTGAAACACAACAGACGTTGTGTCTGTGTGTGTTTGTAATGTAACAGTAGTGTATCAGTGCTCTTGTAAATATTGCCCTTTGAGAAAAAGCCTCAGCTTCTCTTGACTTTGTGTTACTTAAAAGCTATGCTGCTCCATTTAAGTTTATTCACTATCAAGTATTCTGGTCCCTGAGTAGATATTCCTTTTATCAATTTTTAAACAAAATCAGAGAGGTGGGCAGTACAGGCAAGCAAACATGTGGAAGAAATGTAAAGCCTGATAGAGAAAATCAGGTTGCCAGGATTACTCACCCAAAAGCCCACTTTGCTGCCACTGGAAGAACAGGACGTTATTCAGATGTTGAAGAGATACTGTTCCTAAAGTTGGGGAAAAAAATAAAACATGAAATGTGCACTAAGGCCTGCCTTCTGCTTCTTGTTGGTGACTGCCATTTTGTCCAGTTGTGGATGCATAAATCAGCTTTGTGTTAAAACTGACATTGCTGGGCCCACTTTGTTTCTGTAGCTTACACTCTAGTAGTTTGCTCAGAGGCTCTTGTTTAAGACAACCTTAGTCCTGTAGGTCCCTTTTAGCTTAGTATAATGGTGATTTTAATCTGGGAGGGTGTTCTGTCTCAAGTATCAGTAACTTTAACCAAAATTGATGCATCTCCCTGACTGTGTGACTGCCTCACTCTACCATTCCCCTAACTGAGTTTTGGTGTAGGCTGAAGTCCTGAAGAGCAAGGAAGACCCTACATTGAGCAAGGTAAATTCTGTTAAGATATGAGTAACTGCCGGCATACAGGTTTTTCTTGTCATGATTGACTGGAACCAGATAGGACAATGCTGGCCTTTGAGTTGAAAGGTAGAAAAGAGCAAGATTTAATTACCTCGATCTCCCTCCTCTTGAACAAGGGAGCTTCTTCCCCAGTGGGAGAGGCAGATCCAGAGGGATGTAGGGACAACTAATGAGCTCAGGTGCCTTCCCTTTGGCAGTAGTTTCCCCCTGCTTGCCAAGGAAACCTACCCAAGCAGGAGGCCTCCATAGAGGGAAGCAGGACCAGGCCAGGCTGTTCCCACCTCTGCTATTAGTAGCTGCCTTGCTCGTACTGAAATGCGATGGGAGTGGAGACAGTTAAATGACTTGTGAGTTTTTACAAAACTCTAGGTGGTTTTAAGTAGCTGCATCTTCCTGTTTCCCACCAGCTTTGGCAAAGCTTAGAGCCTGCTACTTGTGATTATTTCTTCGCTAACCTTAACAGAAAGCTGATACCAATCTTGTTGTAT